TATCTTCAGGACGCCTCCGACTTGCGTAGCAACGGCGTATAAGCCTGCGCACACCGCCCCGAGGATTGAAACGCCAAATGACTGGGTTAACGATGCGTTCATGAGGCGCCTGGGCTTGTTGTGTTTAGCGGAAAGGGTGCAGAGGTGAATTTGACTGAACTGAACAGACGTCGCTGGGTCAAACGGACCCAAGGAGTTCGATACAATCCTGTAAACGGTGTCGTCCCCGCATTTGGAGGAGGTTGACGAGTTTCGGACCGTCACCACCTATTTTCGGGATAAGGTACCATACCTTAGAACGACGTGATATATGTGTGGCTACAATGAACTTCACTTGCGAGAAGGCAGCACAGATTCGAGGTGCGACGGCGACTAGAATGTCTATCCCTTTGCGATACGCTAATCGAGAGAGAAAGACGATCGTTACTGTTCGAACGCGTGTTTCAGCATTTACAGATCATGCGAGGAGAGAAGGCGCAGTCTCGTCACTGAGTCTAGGAATATGGTATGGCCTAAACTTGTCAGCGACAAGAGAATTCGGGATCACGTAGACGTTTGGGTTGACTACGACTCGTTTGGAATGTGGATTGGCATCATCAGTCTCGTATAGCTCTCCACGGGGTACGGTGTTTTCCCGGCTAAAGACATCGATCCAAGACGGACAAGGGTTGAGTATACATACTAGTCACCTTGCTTGTCAAGGTCTCTAGGAGGTCGATATTTATGTAAGCAGAACGACCCTGGTCAATATCGTCTACATGCACAAATAAGCAATAAGCGCCAGACTCACCAGAAAAACCGATAATTGTAAGCGCTCGGTCAATATCGTCCACATATACAAACAAGCCATAAGCGCCAGACTGACTAACAAAAACCGATAATTGCAAGCGCCCAGTCAATATCGTCCACATACACAAACAATGATCACATGCTTCCATCCCCTTAACCCCCCTGAAATGCGCAACACAGTCTTCAAACTCAAGTAGGCTGATTGCTTGATGACAAATTCTATGGGTCTTTGTTAGAGATAGTCTTAGGCTAATTTATTATATGTTTTTACATGGGAATTCCCATCTAATTCATGCAGGCCTGCCTAATCCAAGGCACAATTTCAATGTTTCAACAGAGTTCACATCTTCTTTGTGATTAGGGACATAAGTGTACTAGAGACCATTACAGTGTGAGAAGTCTGGATACATGTGGCCTTCAGCATTTGGCCTACCTGTAGATACTCACAAGCAGTGAGGCATCTGTGCCTTTGGTCTGTTCTTATTCTGCAAAAGAACTACATCTATGCCAAAGGTACTCCATAAATTATGACTCTATGAGTGCTACTATGTAATCCCTACAACTTAAGTGCCCAAGTACCTCATATAGTACTAAGTCTCAATAGAGATCCATCAGCAGAAGAAAGAATTCATGTCTACACATGTTTCACAGATACAGATACAATCATAATTGAGTAGTTTGATCATTTATGCATGCACCAAAGAGTCTATAGTCTCAAATGTGATAATCTACATGTATTTGAAGAGAGAAGTGCAAAAGGATAACTCAATGATTCAACAAATTGACTACAACACTACAGCCTCTGAGGGCCAATATTTTGTAAGGTATTTCATTCCTTACTACCACTTTCTCCTATCCCCTCACTCCTAGATTACAATCATGTGACAAATGTTCCTTTATATATAAATGATGTGTATTTCCTTACTAACTTTCTCTTACTCTGGTACTCTCACCTACTGTTAGGAGCTACACTTACAGGGGGCTTGGGTGTTGCATAACCAGAGGATATATGGCTCATCTGCACAGGTACTGAGGATATGGGCTGGAGCAAGGGGAAGAGAGTTAAGTACCACAGTAAAGTGTTGGGAGAGCAAGTGTGACAGAAGGCACTAATATTTGAACTAAGGTAACAGTACAGCACTATATACTGGGGAACACAAGGTAGCCACATGTTTGTGAAATAGTAAAGAGTCTGGTAGTCGTAAATACAACAAGCACAAATATGTACTAAGTCCATAATCTGAGATGTCCAAGTGGCTGCATGTATCTGCGGCCCGAGTCCATACTCATGTGCCTCTAGTGGCCCCTATTAGCCCCTAAGGGGGCTCCTCAATGTGCCTATAACACCTACAACATAAAATACCCTGTTTGTTAGGGCAACACTAATCAACAACCAGTGTGGCTCCCACAAGAATACTTGAACAGTAAAGAAAGTAAGAAAAGACTTAGTGTTATGAGCCATACTTGCGAGGGCTTGGGACTACACAGACCTGCGGGGGGAAGGAACGAGGGAGCGAGGAAGGACATACAGTCTTAGCTTCAGCTACTGGCTGCGCCTCCCACACTCTTGCATGCTCTGTATTTCCGGGTGAGGTCCTACATGGGTACCGAGGGTACGAGCAGAGCCGAGGAGAGAGACAGAGACTTCAATGAAAAGGTGAGGATGCAAGTGTGGAGAAGGAACTAAAATTCAAACTAAGGTAACTGTAAGTACAGTACAGGAATATATGCTGTGGAACACACAGTGTCTGCATGTTCACAAAACAGCAACGAGTCCGGTGGTAATACCTACAGGATGCTTGAATATGTACATAGTCCGTAATCCGGGAAGTCCAAGTAGCCGTGTGTGCGCGTGGCCCAAGTCCATAGCCATAATGCACGTGAATGTGCCCCTAGTAGCCCCTAAGGGGCCTGCTGGATGCGCCTATAACACTTAGTAAACTTAGGAATATAATACATCAGATGATCATATCTGAGGGGACAGGGGACAGAGGAAAGGACTGATAAGGTATCAGATACCTTGCAAAAGGAGCAAACAGTGGGATTGGAAGTGATAGTACAGGAAGAAAAAGTACATAAGTAAGTAAGTACATAGTGCTAGGCATGTATATGTCAGGGAATAGGGAGAACAGGTAAAGTAGATGAATACTTTACACCCAGAGAGTATATACTGTAGAAATAGCCGTTTCTTCGCGGCTACTCGGGCGTGTAAGATAGCAGTAGACCCTTGCAAACGCGCGAGGGTGTCGTCTCATTGATACTACCTATTTAACTATGTGCGAAACAATCATATGTACTTGTGACTCTAGCGTGATAAGATAACCGCGTGCTCTGATTCGGTGAGCCACTTGAAACATGCAACGCTAACTCCAACATATACTACTTTGTGGCACCATAGTATAGAATGTGCACTGTTTTAACTAGCTTAACTCCCCTAGATGTGTGATCTTGAGTTTCCAGTGAGCTCAATGGTCATGCTTCATCAGCAAGCTTTGAAGGCCCCGTGTGATTATTCTGTCAACATCTTCCTTCCTTTTTCAGAATTTATTTATTTATTTAAATTTACTCCCCCCTTTCGAATACATTTGCTGCGACAAGCAAGGTGCGCTGCCGGCGTCAGACGGCGCTTCCCCGAGTAAGTTTATATCCACATACCCGGTATGCGAGACGCAAATAACAGGATAGAAGAAATCGGAGATCATGCTACCTACCATACAACATATGTCAGACGTCTGCTACCTGGAAAGTTCGATGAAGACTCACGCAATGGACAAGCGCTCCATTTTGCCATTTTCCAACATATCATGAAAGCACCAGTCTGTATTGTTGGACGCATGTAGATCGTCGCCACTTGTTGGTAGTGGGTAATGAACTTTCTGACCGTGGGAACGGCTACTCTCAAGCGACTGAACTCTCAAGGTTTCGGTTTCACCATTCGACGACCACAATGCCACCAATGCCGATGTTTCCCCCAGAGATATTGCGAATAGTTTTCGAAAAGGTGGAACATAAGGGGACACTGTTGGATCTCCTCGTCACTTCGCGACAGTTCAGTCAACTGGTCGAACCGATTTTGTATGCACAAATACACATTTTCCCGAAGATTGGGTGGTCGATGCGCGTGATGTTCCAAAGTCTCCTCGAGGCTCTCGAGACATCGAATAGAAGAAAAGCACCCTACGTACGAGCCTTCACTCTGATGGCTGATGAAATGACTCGCGGAGAGAATGGCCTTCTCATCCACCTTCTCGAGAAGATGGTGAACTTGAAGAGTCTGACACTACGCCTCTACAAATATTACAATTTCTTCCAACCGAATCCTACATTCGCCCTCGCTAGGTTCGAATTCAAATGCGACCACTATCATCAGGATCTCGACCTGCTCCGTCTCTTGGAGTCACAGCCATCGCTTGAAATGCTCCTCCTTGATGATGCACGCCAGCATGAAGATAACCCTAGGCACATTTTTTCTCCGACTTCCTTTCCCAACCTCAAGGCCCTGAGCCTTCACTCATCTTTAGTCTACGACTTTCTCCGCGCCTCGCCTCGCCTTACACGCCTGCGTGTTTGGGGGAATGTCGATGCACCTTTGACTGATTCCGACCCTATCCGCATAATAGACACTGTACGGACACTCGTATGCGCAAGCACCTTCAACCCCGACGCAGTGATTTCGCTGGCATCGCTATTCCCCAATCTCGAGTGGTTGACGGGACGAATCGACACCGTGCAGGATCTAGAACGCTTGTCTACACATGCTCGTGACCTTCGTGGTATTCGTTTCACAACCCGAGTTCCTTCGTGGTTCTCTGGAGACAATATACCCCGGGTCTTCGAAATCCTGCCAGCCCTTGAGTTTCTGGATTACATGGACGGGACCGACTGGGAACGCTACCGTTGGTATCGCGATGCGACGGCGCCAACTCACGTCTTCTGGTTGTGCAGAGATGGGGATGTGTGGCTTGCCGATTGGGTAGCAGATGCAGTCGACGTTATTGATTGGTAGCAAAAGGTCTGGCACTGTGAAGAAAGACGACCGAGTAGCCGTTTTGAATGCGCACTTACTACATACTGTAGCTGGATGTTGATGTAGTTTCATCTTCGAAGCATATAAATGCGATACCATCTTACCAGCATTAGTGGCAAGGTGAGTGTAGCAACAGTATCGTCTGAGCATCGTGGCCATTTTCCAGAGTCAGAGAGTAAAAAAGTGGTTCAACCCAGGATCGAACTGGGAACCTTCTGTGGCCCGAACACATTTGTGAGACAGAAATCATAACCATTAGACCATTGAACCGATGCTCGGACATCTTTAGAAGTGCACCACTAACCTTGGACTTCTCATATTGAACCAGGAGTAGCCTACCAAAAGCCTCGTAAAGGACTGTTCTTGTAAAAAGTACTCGAGCCTAGCATTCCCGAATAATCGATACGCCAGTTGCCAGTGGCGATGGTGATGGCGATGCTGGGCGATGCGTCGGTTAGCGCCATAAGCATAAATGTCACTATTGGCGCCTATTTATACAAGAGACTCGGCACCATCTGTTGTCAGTCAACTTGTAACTGCTTGCTTGCTGTCGCCCAAATCTTCCTTTTCGTTTTCTTCTTCATTGACTGCGTTGTTTTGAATCGCCCTCTCTTTTCCTTCTGACGCTTCGGTACTCAGAGTGTGGACCACCGAAGCTACGACGTCTACGCCACCGATAATCAGCAAGCCTATACAGCTCCGTTAGCGACATAGAACTCGAATGGCACCTAAAGATGCGGCAAACGACGACCCTAACGTTGTCGCCGACGACGAAGCCCCAGGACCACCCATATCTGTTCCCGATACAGGTGATACAGGTGAAGGAGGCAAGTTGAAGATGATAGTCCAGCTGGTGAAGAAATCGTTGGGTGTCAAGGATATTGCGACTATGTGAGCTTTTACGCGATGTCGAAGGCTTCTTGCTGGAATTTAACTTGTTCCAGGCGTCTTTCGTTACCAGCTTCTTTGTTGGAACCAATCCCGAACCTGGAATACTGGCATTACCTTGACAGGCCGGATATGTTTGCTGCGTTGAGTGTTGAGTTTCCTCCACCTTGCTTCGTCGTGTTGACCCTGGTTTTCAGTATCAACGACTCTGACGATCCCTTCGAGCGAATGTTAGCCGTGCTGAGATTCACCTTCACGAAAGATATCAAATTCATTGTGAGTAACCACGTTGATGCGTCGACTGCCGGAATCGTCGTATCGACAGATTATCTAGCACGGTAAAGTATGTAAACCATATAATTCCGTCCTTGGCGAGCATTTCCGTGCCCATTGGGACGTGGTGCCTCTGGCGTACCCCGAGGAGCCAACGCAGCCTCCCATGCCTCTAATATTCACAACCCCTAATTCCGACTCGCCACAACCTGCACAATCTCTGATGTCGGAGACGGCCAGCGTGCGCAGCGCGAAGAGTTCCAAGAGTGGATTGAGCCTCGTCTCGAAGCCTGGCAAGAGCCCGTCCACCGCAGCAACGTCACCGCAGCAGATCCCCGGCCAGAACATTGACGCTCAGATGTCTAATCTTAATCTCGGTGACGAAACCACGAGCTCGGATGACTTGGGCACCCAAGAGCGCCTCCGAGTTGTGTATGTCACGGAACAGGTTTCTCACCACCCACCCGTCTCGGCCTACTACGCAGCTTGCCCCACCAAGCATGTGGAGATGATGGGCATCGATCAAATCTCCGCTAAAGTATCTGGAACGACACTCCGAGTAGCGCCGGGAAACTTCAACAAGGGGATATACATCAACCTAACCGGAGGGCACGGTGAGGGTGAAAAGTACCACATCACCCACCCCGTTGCGTCCGTCAATGGCATCCTGAGGGGGAGTTTCTACGTGACAGTTGGGGACACCACGATCATCACATGTTCCACTGGCAAGCCTGGACGGAGGTTCAGGACAATCATTGAATACAAAGAAGAGGTAAGCACCTCCCGCAAAGTTCACGCCCCCAAATCGTGTCAGATTTGACTGGTTTCCTTCACAGTCCTGGCTTGGCCGAGCCCATTTCCTCCTCGAGGGTGTCATTCATACCTATCACGAAGGAGATACAGAACACGAGGAGTGGACGAAGGTCAAGCATGTTCCACAGTCGCACGTCGTTGCCGTTTTTGATGGATCGTGGCGGAGTCGCATCCGCTGGCGCCGCGTGGGCTCGGGGTCGTACCCTATCGTCACGTCGTCGGCTGCGTCTTCACCTACCCCGCACCACACCCCGCTTCCCACACCCTCCGTTCGATCGGCCGCCGCGTCGAAGGTTGACGTTCGGGGGGACGAAGAGTACGCCACCCTTATCGACCTCTCTCAGTTACAAGTCGTGCCAAAGAGTGTTCGACCCTTGAAGAAACAGCTTCCCCACGAGAGCCGGAAGCTGTGGGAAACCGTCACGTCGCATTTGTTGAACAAAGAGTTTAGCGATGCGACCAGGGAGAAAGTGGCGATTGAGCAGAAGCAGAGAGACGATGCAGCAGAGCGGAAGAGGAAGGGCGTTGAGTGAGTGACACGTTGTCTCTTTTATCTCGGCGAAACGGCGCGCTAATCTAGGTGCAGGTTTACTCCGCTTTACTTCGAGAAGGACATCGACGCTGGATATTCCCACCTGACTGCTGAAGGCCTCAAAGCCGTTGAAGAGGAGCTTAACGAACCGTCTGATTACTGCATCGAAGGTGGTGTTGGAGGTGCGCCCTAATGAGATCGCAGTACGACATAGACATTATACCACAATGTATGCCTTACATTCCACTTAGCTAGTAAGTACTTGGATCCTCAAACTCAAGATACAGCTCTCTACACTTACGATTATATACGATTCCCGTCTTTGCGAGCTCTGCGTCTGGATTCCGCATTGCACCTTCCCCCTTGGGTCTAGGGGCGAGCCCCTATCCTTCACGAAACAATCGATTGTTCGCCCCATCCCAAGTTCATATCATCCTGTGGCACCTGTAACCCAGCCGAACTTTGGATACTAAGCGTAAGTGCGTAAGTATGCCAGAAAATTTAAAATGAATAATTCATTCATTTATTTCCAATTGGCCCAGGTATCGTCCCTCCTTCATGTTCAGGGCTTCAACGGTAACCCCACTCGCCCACCTGTGTTCTAACAATTACCGAGCTCTTCGGCCGACGTGATGCACCCATATAGTTCGACCTGTTTCAGGTTGACCAAGTTGGGATTGACCTGATTGACCAAGAATTGTTGCTGGGGGATTGAGCACAGGACCTGAATCAACGTCCGCTGGTTTCCTATCTTGTCATTCTAGCAGTAAATCTATTGAGGCGCTCGATCGATACTCCAAGAAACACGGGCATTTGCCAGTAAGTACTACGCGGTGTGCTCATGCAATTTCTGGACGCACCCTGGTGACCCTTCGCCCCTTCGGGCACGTTTTCTCGGTAATTTAGAACGCAAGCCTCGACCACGAGTGTCCTCCATAAATTATGTGGCACCCCACCGATTATCCGCGATGGTGATTGATATTGGAAGGCTCTATCTAATTGTATGAAGGCTCGTAGACCAATGAGAAATCTTCCATACAGGTGGGTTGAATCGCCGCACCTACTGGTCAGCTGGCGACATGTGTCCAGTACACTGACCTCCGCTTGATCCTTACACCACCTACTATACAATTCAATGCTGCGGTCACTGGGGCCTTAAGGCTTGGGTATGGAAGTTTTATTCCCTTCTGAAATAGTGGTAGTAGGTATTAGCAATTGGGTTCTGGCGCCATGTGAGAAGATCGATTAGGCCTGTCACTGAAGCTTGCAGCGCTTGCAGGCTTAAGAGGTAACTCAGGGATAATAATAGTAGGAAATAAGCATTAGAACGTCTAGTACGCACGCCGCTTCCCAAACGTGCATCCGGGCACGCATGATGGGCCCAACAAATCCCTACGCAGGCTCCCCTCGTGACATGCTCAGAACGTGTCTGCTTAGGTGCAGGCATATACTTACCACGAACTCACGAGCGTTCCTACTTCAAGAATATCACACGGAAGGTGCACTTCTCAGTGTCACCGCGGAACCAAAGCCTATGGGAACACACTCGCTCTTTGAGGCCGAAATCCCGTTCCAAGCTTTCTCCGGAGTCCGCAGACATGCTCTAGGAACGGCTAGAGTTCCCCCAAGTATATACTTACCGTCAACACTTTGCTGCCCTAGCACGCTCCCCTTCGTCCGTTGGATCCTGAGGGAACACAGCATAGTGGAGTAATCGATGTCGATCACGGTGATATAGCATGCGACGGATCCGGGGAGGTGACAAGGGCTGGGGCTATTCTAGATGCTCTTGCAACGGTTCGCAACATAATAAGGGGATTGCAATCCCAGTTTCTGATGCCTCATTATTCGTCATCTTCAAGCACATCATGGGACGCACCCGCGCAGTAACGACAGTTAGGTAGCGGATGAGACCTAGAAAGCGTAATGATTGTGTGCGTTACACCCTAGATGGGGAATCCTCGAGGTGCAAAGTGGAACCTTTGTCTATTATCTATCTCCTATCTCTGACATGATATCACCATAGATGGTTCAACTAATCCTTGAGAAACTTCTGGAACTGGTGGCTGACGGCGGTTAATCATGTCGACGGAATTATCGTAACGCATGATGCTAACATTCAATTCTGTGCGGTGTATTCCGATCCGGAGTGGTAAGCGTCTGTCTCGATAACGCGAAAATATAGAAGTGTCCCTAATAAACTGACTGAAAGTCCCGCAGAGTCAAAAGTACAACGAATAGTCCGAGAGAGCGCAATAAACCCACAAACATAAGAGGACGACAAATAAATACAGCGGCAACAATGTGCATATTATTTTGGGTGCAAATATCCGATTGCAAATTCGTGGCAAAGTGTTCAGACAATCACCTAAGATACGTCGTTAATGGTAGGACTTGGAGCAGAATGACTATCGCACTCACATGCCATACCTCCGCTTCAAAGCGGTCCACGAAGGAACGACATCAGGATTCCTAGCGGCAAAGGTGTCCATATCCTGCTCGGGGATGCGATTTATATCCACCCGGTTCCAGTACCTTGAGAGGACGTAAACGATGTCTTGAGCATCCTTCTGAAGACCCCGACTGAACAAGAGAAGGACGAGCTGTTAGCTTGCTTATATGGAGAACCCAGACTCAACGTACATGGCCCACGACTTAAGCTTCGCCCGGATGAACTCCGAAAATGTTAAAAATGGGACATTGTGAAGCTTCATGACGGTTGAGTCGCCTAGGACCCGAGGACCGGTCTCGCCAGCAGGAAGGA